TCTCTCTCTTTCTCCCCCTCTCTCCCTCCCTGCCTCCCTCCCTCTCTCCCTTTCTCTTTCTTTTGCAATCTTCCAGATTGCCTTTTCTTCCAATTAAAAGTTGAGTGTCTTTCTCCTGCTTTAAAGGTAATATTTGGAAATTTCTTATTTGATATCTTCTTTCCACTATGCCTGAATAGTATCTTGAGATGAAACAAACATAGGCGAGGCTTGGAAAAGTAAGGCTTCCTTAGCTAGATCTGGTATCCAGCTCACTCAAAATGACAGGGCATTTATGGAAGCCTTGACCTCCTTCTTTTTGAGGCTTTACAAGGATTTGTGGAAGTCTTGGATGGACTTCTTTATGGATGTTACAAGAGGATATACAACCATATCAAATGATATGCTAGGCTAAGATAAAAGTATGATCATATAAGATATGACATATAGCCATAATATATTATACATATTATATATATTATACATTACATAAATGTACACGCACACATATGTATATATACATTTTATTTCATAGTATATGTGAAAATAGATGTTTTTGACTTATATATTATTCTATATTGAGTAATTTTGAATAAAATAAATGTAGTCATTTAAACAAAATAATAGAACTAATTAATAGTACATGTTATATAACTTATCAGATGGGGTTATATACCACACAGTTGTTTGTTTTCTGCATTTCGACCAATTGTGGTTTTTGTAATAGTCTTCAACCTCCAAGAGAAGCTTCCTCGATTAGTATATCGAGAGCTTCCCTCATCTTTGAACATAAAGATAATTATTAAGGAAACAGCTAGAGATTATACTGATTTGGGGAAGCTCTATTTAGGTTCCAGAGCCTTACCAGCTTCGGATGGTTGGGTAGGTTTACAATCCTAGGCATGAATCTTCTTGTACAAAGCAGGCCTTATATTTAATTAGATAGCTGTAGATTATTTCCATTATTGTACCTTTAGCAATATTTTGTTATTTTGGTCATTATTGTGGTTCATAAGCTTTATAGCTTATGAACTATTGATTGCTGCTTTTCCTTTGGAAGTTTGCATTGCTCCCTTGGTACCATAAGAGCTAGTGTTCAGATAGGAGGCTTCTGGATAAGATCCAGCTCTGTTCCTGTAAGCCTTGTATCTGAAGACTGCAAATAAAGGTTTACAAACTGTTATAACTGATTCCAGGCTGGAAAAGGGGGATGATGTAGAAAGGGCAGCAGTAGGAGCACATCAGAAGAGGAGTTAGTCTCTGGAGCCACTCTAAAACTTCACACATGGCACCGATCTGGAACATAAGGCAGCCATTTGATGACAGCACGCATCCTCCGAGCAGCCATCACAGGCAAAAGGGGAGACCATTAATACTATGGTAATTCCACTGAGAGTGGAGTTAAGAAAATAATTGGTGGAATTCTACACTTATTGGAAGAAGAGGATAGACAAGAAAAGCATTGCATCCATGTCAGGATTTTGTCACAGACATTAGCAAGATCGATGAATTCTTTGCCAGTGATGTCTGTCTACTACAAGATGTGCATCCAGCGGGAGGCCGTCACTCTGCCTTAAGAACCAGATGCGTAGTTTTTCCTAGCCAGTGTAAGTTCAGAAGTCAGCCACTGGGTCTCCTTGAGAGGCAAAGTTAATGAGGAAAATTATTAACTATATAATTAGCATAAATCTTTGTCAGTAAAGTGAAGTGTAATTAATTGTGCAGCTGGCTAGACTGTGCTCTAGAACCATCCAGAGGGGTAAGGTTAGAGAATCTGTCTTCTCTGTATCTAGATTGGCAGTCTTGGCTTAATAGAGTGAAGTGTCGCTGTGCCGTTGGCTGTTTGTCCCACCAGACTCCTCTTTAAAGATGGAGTGCCCAGAAGCCCTGTAAGAGGGGTCAGTTTAAGTAGGTAGAGTACCATCCCAGCAGTAGACGCCCCTGACCACCTACCAGATAGAATGTCCATTGGGAGTGGTCACCATGGGCGACATCTAAGTGAAGCCTAGAGTCCCTTTGTCGTTGTCACAATAAAAAAGCAGTATAGTAAAAATATATTAAAAAAAAAATCCTGGTGTGGGGTTCTTCCCTGCCTTAGACCATTCATGTTCCCAGATGAAACACACACACACACACACACACACACACACACGCACACGCACACGCACACGCACACGCACACGCGCGCACCCCCCCCCCCACAGCCTTTATATTTTAATATACCTTAAGTAGCATAATAGCTGGGCAACTGCCTACCCTCCATGCTGTTAGAACCCATTTTCCTACTGATAACTCTGAGTTACTACTTACTAATTTCTGCGTTCTGTTTGGGCTGCTCTTAATTCTGATTGGCAGCCCACATGGCCATGTTTTTATGGCTCAGCTATTCCATTGCTGCTCTCCTTCCCTCCTACACATTCTTCCTCTTCCACAGAGGGTCCTTTTTTTTTTTTCCTTCCTCATGGTCTCCCGGGAAACCTAAACCCCGCCCATGTCTTATCTCCCCAGCTATTGGCTGCTGGCATCTTTATTTACCAATCGAAATTAAGTGGGTGCAGGGCCTCTCAGGCTACATTCAAACTCTAAATTTTGGAGGCCAGCACTTTGCATCACAGTAAACAGTAAAAGATGAAACCCGCACGCAACAGAGCAGCGTCTAATTGACAATCTAAAAAAGAGATAGAACTCCACTGGATCTTTTAAATACGATTTCTCAGTGATGTTCAATGGACACCATGTCGGTATCCTGAAAAATTAACCCCAAGATGGCGAATTTGTTGAAGAGCATCTGGTAGCCTCCTTTAATCCGGGTGCTGAGGAGACAGATAGATACATCACAGCTGTTGAGCGGCACTTATTTCAAATAGAATGTTTCACAGGCGTTCTTGTTTGTTTGTTTAGATTTAGCCATAGCATTTAAGAAGACAGTCTTGTTCTCCTCAACTGCAGATTGACACTGCAGTGCTGTCTTGTTTTATATCTGATATATATGGAGGAAATGTTCTCCCTTTGAGTCCCTCTGACCACATCAGTGTAGGCCTCCAAGCACGGCTATTGAAAGTTTAGATGCACAGATCTTTTTGTTGTTTGTTTTTTCTTGAGACAGGGTTTCTCCGTGTAGCCCTGACTGTCCTGAAACTCACTCTGTAGACCAAGCTGTCCTCATACTCCCAGAGATCTGCCTGCCTGTCTCCCGAGTGCTGGGATTAAAAGGCGTGTGCCACCATGCTCTGCCAAATGGTCTACTAAGGATGTTTTTATGTTTACATCCTATCATTTTACAGCAAGCCATAGCAATAACAAGAAGTAAATTCCAATATGTTAGACATCTCTCTTCTCAAGATCCCAAGGACAAACCCAAGATTTTGTTTTACCCCAGCTCACTCTGTGGGACCAGTGAACCAGTAACACTGTCACCCTGTGAAACCAAAGCCAAGTCCTTAACTGCAGTGATGAACTAGGGGTGGGATTAAACTTTGAAAGTGGGGTAGCGTGATAAGAGGGGAAGGGTTGGGCTCGGAGCAAGCCTGAACCTAGTAAACCAACTTCTGCTGGAGCTCAAACCTGAAAAGGACTAGTTGTCTTGATAGTCTGTCCTCATGTTCACTGGAACAGTGGTGTTAGATTTTCGAGCATAGCTTAGACAGATAACGCCAGACCAAACAGTTCTACGAAAGGGGAGAAGTATTTAGGGCGGAGGGCAAAGGTGGGGAGAGAAACAGGAGGAACAGCAGAGAGAAGAGAGAAGTGGAGGCCGGCCATGACCATGTGGAGAGAAGGGGAAGGGAAGGGGGAGGGGGGAGGGGACAGAGAACCTGCAGGCAGAGGGATCAAGGGAGCAAGAGAGAGAGGAGGGGGCATGCAGCCCCTTTTATAGTGGGCATGTCTACCCAGCTGTTGCCAGGTAACTATGGGGAGGAGCATACCTGGCTGCTGCCAAGTAACTGTGGAGGTGGAGTTTAGACAGAATACTAACAAGTAGGGTCACTCACAAAGGTACACAAAGGCCCCGTTCTTTTTTGGCTGTAGGAGCGTCCTTGGCCTGGGTCTGTCATATTCACAAAAAAATTAAAGATAGGTCTCCTTCTTCCCAGGCTGAGCAGGAACTGTCTTAGTGCCTTAAGTGGGAGTAATGCTAGTAGCCCCTAACGATCATAGAATGATCATTTCTAGTGATCATGGAAATGCTTCCCAGATAATTCTTTTATAGGATATGGCATTCTTGTTGCTGATGGCTTTCCTGTCCCTTATTGTTTGTTTGCTTTGGCCCAAATTGACAGTGTCTCTGCTGGCATAATTCTGTCTCCTCTGGTCTAATCCCACATTCCTGGTTTCTTCAGAGATGGCTGATTAAATCCATGTATATACATCATACATATGTATACTTCCCTGCCCCCCCCCCCCCCCCCAGGGTTTTTTTTTTTAAATAGGGCATGCTTCTACTTCCCTTTTCAAATATGAGCAGGTTGAGTATTTCTTCTTTGAATTTAATTTTTCTTTGAATATTATTCTTTTATCTGCCCTTTGACTCTTGGATTTTGCTATAAGCAATCTGGAGGGTCTGTCTATACCACAACTTTCACCATTTTCGTTTAGAATCTCCTCTGGTAAATATTCATTTGCAGTGCTCAGAGAGTTCCATCCTTTACAAGCCATTAAAGCACAGTTTAACTAAGAGTTTGCCACCTTGTGCCAGCAACAGTGTTTCACTGAAGGCTAGCATGCTCCTTGTTTCTAAGACAGCAGTAGACTCGACGTTAATGTCAGTGAGTGGCCAGTGTGCTATCCTTGATTCTTTATGTGGTTTCTAAGGAGGTGCAGATTTCCTCACAATTCCCTCCACGCCACCCCCATCCTCATTCAAATAAGTTTAAAATGCAATCCCACCAGCATCCCTTTCGTGGCAGTTGATGTATTTGCTAGCCTGCCTCTCACTGCCACTCCAGCCTTTGCTCCAATGCTGTGTCCACACTCGCAAGTATCCGTTGGGATGATAACACTCTTCCAAGTACCTAACCTGTGCTTGTCAGGCTTCTTAGAACAAGCAGAAGGAACAGTTATGTGTGAAGATAGAAAGACTGGTTTATCATTCTTGATATACTTGAAACTGGTTCACAGTACTAAATCATCTGCATAGACCCTTAGATCTGCAGGGTTTGCTGATAAACTAGAAAGGAATTAAATAAATCTTTGTAATTGTCATGTTGTGTATTAATTAATACATTGTATATACATATTTTATACATAGACACACACGTGTAGACACACACACACACACAGCTAGTGATAAAAAAAGAGAGCATGGGCTGGAGAGATGGCTCAGCGGTTAAGAGCACAGACTGCTCTTCCAGAGGTCCTGAGTTCAATTCCCAGCAACCACATGGTGGCTCACAACCATCTGTAATGGGATCTGATGCCCTCTTCTTGTGTGGCTGAAGACAGCTACAATCTGAAGATGAGCTACAGTGCGCTCATATACATAAAATAAATAATTCTTTAAAAAAAAAAGGCGGCATGAATTTGAAAGAAAGCAAGGAGGACATGGGAGGGTGTGAAGGATGGAAAGGGAAAAGGAGATGATGCAACTATACTCTCAAAAGGGAAAAAGAAATTTAAAAAAGAACTAACACTTCAGTAATATAGGTTGGTCTAATTTTAAGGGTTTTTTTTTCTCTTTATATCATAGTATATATAAATGAGGTGTTTAGTGTTGGGGAACAATTCTGGTAATGATATATTTTCTACATTTCCATTTGGTTAATGAACTCTCAAGACACAATTTAAAAGTGATGTTTTTCCCTTCTAGGTAAAACCAGTAATCAGCAAACTCATGGTAGTCTCCCCAAGCAACGACTTCAGCTTGTTCTTTATATATCTATCCCCTTAGTTATGGTCGTTTCAGCTGTAGTCATAAGGCAAAGTAAACTGAGTCGTCTGTGCCGCAGAGAAAGAAGCGAAAGCAACAGGTACCTACTAGATATGCACATATATTTACTATTATTGTATCAATGAGTCTAGAAAGTGATTGGTCTTCATTAAAAATAAGATTACAGAAAAGGCAATGCAAAGAGAGGCACAGATACACATTGCAAAGCAGGTTGATTTCCATACGTATTTCCATCCCTAACACCCACTCACTTTCTCACTGGCATCCCAGAGAAAGACATCGCTGCCTCAGGCATCTTGGAGGCAAGTTTAGACTCTTAGTTCACTGGTGCTGTCAATTAGCCATACTGTCCCGTTGTTAGGCTTACATCTTGAATAACTATAATTTCAAAACAAAAAGAAAAGCCACAGTCTAAATTTATTATCCTAAATATTTTTGCTACTTCTTCACAGAGTAATTGGGTGAATTCTTGATAGCGTCAAATTGACAGACAAGAGACAGCATGATGACACTTAGCTTTAGAAAACTTGGTTTTATGTTACAAGTTTTGCAGGCAAAACTGTGATACCTTGATCAACTGACACAACCTCTGTATACTTGTGATTTTTGGTAACTCTATAAGTATGAAATGAAGAAGGTTTTCCAGTGTTTCCCAAATCTCTAGGAACATATATTTAATAAGTACAATCACCCTATTATCTGAAACCAGGTACAGAGATAGCTAACAATATGTGGACCTCCAATGTTTATTTCATAGTATTTTGCCATAATATTTTGTCTGGCTTTACTTTTCAGAATTTACAGGAAGATTCAAAAGGAGCATTTTTTTTCATGATAAGAGAAAAGCATATTTAAAAATATAAAGAGAAAAATAGCAGATTATTTTTCTAGAACTATACATTTATTTCATACACAGAGTAAAAATAATTATTAAATAATAGTTAGAAATAGAAATGCCTGCCACTGGGCTGGGGGGATGGTTCACTAAGACAAGTGCTTACCATGCTACCATGCAGTCCTGAGTTTGTATGCTTAGCTCCCATATAAAAACCTTAGTGTGGTGGCATGTGATTGTAACCTCAACACTCTGCTGGGAGGCAGAGACAGGGAGATCTCTAGGGTGCTGTCGAGGCCGTCTAGCTGAAAAAATGAGCCCCAGAATCAGAGAGACACTGTGTCCCCCAAAAACTCTGAAAAAGTTGTGGAGTGATTAAAAGAGACATTGCCACACACATGTACACATACATGAACAGGTGTACACACACACACACACACACACAGACACAATCTTTCACAAAAATGCCAGAAATGCTTGTCATTTGTTGTGCAGTATCACTTGTGAGTTGGTTGAAACACACATTTACCCACATAAACATCATTTGCATCTAGATGAAAAGTAATTTAATGCAAAAATTTAAATCTAGAGTATTGTTTAAATATATCCATATGACTGACGTTCTCAAAATTATTTAACATATATTATATGATTGTCAGAGACTATCTGAAATTCAAACTTATTTGGCAGATTCACAAAACCAAAACAACAAAAAATCAAAACTTGATGTGTTTATGGGCTAGTATGTTTTGATTAACTTGATTTTTTTTGAACATTGCTAATATTTTTGGCTTAATTCAAATTAATACTTGGGGTATCATGGATTGGGCTCCCTATATAGGTATGGGTTAACAGCATAAATACTTGAACTAGTTCAAAATTCGAGTATCAGTGAAATGTCTGTTCTAAAGCACAGACGGCACCTGTTCACATTGGAAAATGCCATTTTATGCATACAAATCATGTTGTTTCCTTGGACAATGGTCTTTGTATTTAATGTTTGAGATTTATTTTTTCCTGTTTAAAAAGAAGTTTGTCAATCTTGTAGCTCTGTAACAGAAGACAGTGTGAGTAACCCCAAGGTGACCACCAGTGGAGGAAGGTAAGTCTGGGGCAATACAATTAATCCCTTGTCATGATTAGGTTTTAGGACTGCTGAAAATGGCTAGTTTATAGCCTACACATTTCTTTCGGAGAGCCTCTACTGTTGTCATCATAGATTGTCTCATAATAGTAAGCAACATAGTTGCATGATATCCTGGCCTGTCCTATTCATCTGTCCAGAAGAATGATGGTTGAACTATGCTAGCATTTATGATACTACCAACTTCCTGTGGGTTCAGAGAAGAGTTTATTAGCAGAGGGAAGGAAAATGTATATTTGGATGACATTTTACTGTCATATAAAAAGTTCTTTGATAAGGATGCCCTATACACATATAGTCATGAGATTGTCTCAAAGAAATGAGAGTTAGTGAGAGTGACCTTGGAGCTGTTATTGGTTTTGTTCTTTAATCTATCTAGAAAAGTAGAGTTAGAGACCGGATATGGAAAAATAAATCAGTTTTATGAATTAGGCATTCCTTTACTGTTAGCTATAAAAAAATTATCCCCTTACAAAACAAGGGGTAGAAAATGAGAAGGAAGACTATTTGATGCAAAGCTCTATGATTCTTTTAAGTCCTTCATCCTTGTAGCATGAAGTTACATAGTACGGTGGTATATTTAGTAAATCTTGAGATCAGTTACTGAGCTGAGAAAAATTTAAGAAATGTATTATTTTTTACTGGCACCTATCACTGTCATTCTGTTGTTAAAAGTCTATTTTACAAAAACCAGAAGAACTAGGAATGTCTTTATTTGAATTCTAAGGAGATCTATATTTTGTGGCACTTTTTTGGGGGGGCGGGGGAGAGACATGAATAGACATGGGCTCATCCCATCTATATAAGGAACCAAGACAGACAAAGTAATGAAAGCCCAGCTTGGTGAAATGGTGACTTTATTGAGGTGACTTGCAGGAGAATTGACAAAAAGTTTAGTCACAGGATTAAAAAAAAAATGACTTACTGACAACTAGCTACTTGTATCACCAAAAGCTTAGTCCAACACTGGGGATAACTAATGAAAGCTGGAACCCTCGCTCTCTATATATACATGATGTACAGGCAGTTCCTCGAGTTAGGTATTCTTTCTCTTCAGCAATCTTTACTGTTTACATAACCTTAGGGAGGGAAAAGTCTTTGTGTCAGGTAAGTTTTAGGGACTTCCTGAGACTTGTAAATTGCTTTACTTCCTGATTCTTAAATCTTATTTTTTACAACTTCCTGTTGTCATATAAAACTTGACTCTAAGAAGAATGTTTAATTTAGAGGAAATTGCTTAATAAAATATGTGTATTTATTAAAACCATATAACATAGAAAAAGACAATCTAACTGTATTCAAAGACAGTGGATGAGAAGAAGAGTAGAAACAAATCAATACAAGAAAAATAACTGGAGTCACAAAGACAAAGATGACTCTTTGAAAAGTTCATAAAATTTATACAAATAAACATGACTCAAATCAATTATTAATGTAAAATGGCATCATTTTTTTTTATTTCCTGGGCTTTAGAAGAAGTTAAAGTCAGTGAATTAAAATATTTAGATGAGCTATATTTCCTTCCCCAAACATGTCTGTCTCCAGCCTCTTGATGCAATAGTGCGACCAACCAGTCAGTTATCTTATGTCTACTTAAAGTCTGAGAGCTGCAGTCTAACCTATCTTTGTCAGCTATGGCAGCACATACCTCTAATTCCAGCCCTTGAGAGGATGCTTACAGGTACAAGCAAACACTTTTGGTTCTATTGAAATTTTGCACCAATTGTCATTAGAGACATTGCCTTATATGCTTTTTGTGGTTCTTTTGTCTAATCATGATGATTGTCTTAACTGTTAACTTGACACAATCAAGAATCATCTGGAGAGGGAGTCACAGTGCAATCAGGATGGCCCACGGGCGTTCCTGGGGAGGATTGTCTTGATTATGTTAGTTGAGACTGGAAGACTCACTCACTGTTGGGGTACCATTTCCTGTCGGGAGATCCCGAACTGCCTCAAATTGGAGAAAGGGAGCTGAGAACAGGGAACAGGCACTCACACCCTCTGTTTTCGGTTATGAATGTGACTAGTGACTGCTGCCATGACTTCCCCCTGGTGATGGACTGTAACCTAGAACTGTGTGCTAAGCAAGGACTTCCTCCCTGAGTGGCTTTCATCATGTTATCTTATCATTGCAACCAGCAGAGAAACTAATACAGGCACGGAAGTGATGCTGGCCTTCTTTCCTTTCTTAAGTGTCAAGTTTTCATGTATTCCAGGCTAGCCTCAAACTAGCCACTTAGCCAGTGGGGGCCCAACCTCAAATCCCGGTTCTACCACCTCCTCTCTCAAGTGTCCAGTTTATACCACAAGATTCTTTATCCACTTATCTGTCAAGGGGAACCTAGGGATGGTTCCATGACTTGACTTTGTGAGTATCACCTATACTTGGGATTTAATTTGAGTCTTCTGTCCTTTATTCTTACTTAGTCTAGGTAAGAGTTCATTCCGTTACTTTTTAGAAGAACCAATTCTTTGCTTTGCTGTTGTTATTGTTGAGTTTGATTCATTCTACTGTGATATTTAACAGTTTGTTCTCTCCTATTCTCTGTGCGTTTGGTTTTTCTTTTTCTGAGGTACATAATCTTGGGCTTTGTTTGGAGTCTTCCTTTGTTATTGCAAGCATTTATTACTCTAAAGTTCTCACTCAAAATTGTCCTTGGACATTATGTAAAGTATGAACATAGAATGCCCCCCCATCTCTCTATGTATTAAAGGCTTGCTTTCCATAATATGAGCTTTCATAGAGTGTTTGGATCTTAAGAACCCTAACCTAATTGATGTATGCATTACTCCCTGGTGAATGCATAACATCATGACATAAAGATCATGTAAAGTGGGAACTGAGGTCCAGGGGTCCAGTTGCAGTGTGGGGAGGGATCACTGAGTATCCTCTTGGGGCCATATCTTGTCCTCATGCTTGCCTGTCCTGTTTACTTCTTTCCTTGGCTCTTGCATTCCTGTGCCAAGGTTCATCCTCTTAAAATTAAAAGTGCAGGCAAAAAATCAAAACGGGTAGGTGGTACAACCCTAAATTTAAAATCTCAATCTCTCTCTCTCTCTCTCTCTCTCTCTCTCTCTCCCTCTCTCTCTCTCTCTCTCTCTCTGTCTCTCTGTCTCCGTCTCCCTCCCTCTCTCTCTCTGTCTCTGTCTCCCTCTCTCTCTGTCTGTCTCTCTGTCACTCTCTTTGTATGTGTATGTATATATATGAAATATGTATTTACATGTATATTTCATATATATTAAAGATAATTTTCATTGTCTTTTATATTCAATGTCTTTCATATATGTGAAAGACAATGAAAACTTATCTTTGAAGACCGAGTACCAGAATAAGTTATTAATTAATAAAAATAGATGAAAACTCAATAGCACAACACTGAAACAATGTTTCTGCTAATGATGATGATTACTTGATGACAAAGCGAGTTAATTACTTCGAGTTTTCACTAAAGCCTCAACCAGCCATCAAGAACAAACAAAAGCAAGGAACGCTTCCAACTTGATAACTTAAGGCTCAAGTGGAAAAAATGAAGCCTCCAACACATCTTCAACCAACAGGTACATGCAGATGGCCAGTGGGCGTATGAAAAGATGCTCAAGACCGTAATCATAAGAGATGTACCTGTCGTGAGAGGTGTCACATCTGTTAGGGAGGCTCTTATCGATGAAATGAAGCCAGATCTAGAATGTCATTTCGAATGAGCATTTACTAATCACTGGAAATAAAGCCTCAAGCATTCAAAATTAACAAATTTGAGTCACATGGCAATATAGCCTCATGATAAACATCACTGTACATTGTATTTAAACTTAAGATGTGGGATTCCCTGTCAAGGGCTCTTATTACAGTCAAATAGTAATTTTGTAGCCCAATCTGGTCATGAACTTGTGATCATTCCATCTCGGCCTTGTGTGTGGTAGGATTATAGGTATGTGTTACCATGCCAGTCAGAGAGCCTTGGACCAGAAAAATGTATTTACTTTCATTACTTTAAGAAAAAATGTGAATTATGAAAGAAGTCCCCTCTCTCCAGTGTTTAGTTGGCAAAGACTTTCTGCCATTCCATCTTGACTAGATTATTTCTTCTGCTGTACAGAAACATGTTATTTCTTGAAGTCCCCTTAGTGGGTTGTTGGCTTATTCCATAAATACACATAGTTCTGTTGTGGTTGTTCCCGTCAATGACTCCATCTTGAATTTGTTTTTCTACTTGGGCAAGGAGAGAGAAAAGGAGTTGATTTGACGGCTTGTTATAGATATCCAGCTTGGCTAGTACTATGTATTGAAGGTGCTATCTTTTCTCCTTTTTCATTTTGTTCGAGAATTTCATGCATGCATGTAATGTGTTTAATAAAATTTACAGCTCCCTCCCCCCAATTTGTTCCAAATCTACCTACCACTTTTCTCACTATTTTATGTGCTTTTCTTTTCAATCCAAAGATTCTAGTTATATGTAGAACGTGTGCAGGGCCATTTACTAGAACATCAGTAACCTCTCAGGAGTTGCATCCATGAAGAAAGCATGGCTCTTCTTCATCTGGCAGCCATTAGTTTCCAGTAGCTCCTCAGCTAGGGGTGGCACTTCATGAGCCCCTATATCAACTGTGCTAGATTTTGACTGTGTGATCTTGTATAGATCTTGGGTGTGCAGCCACAGCCTCTGTGGGCTAATGTGTGCAGTGACTGCACTATGCCATCATTTTGGATAAATATTGTTTTGTAGTAGATGCTCAGTATCTCATTATTAAAATATTTTTGTGTCTTCTTCCGCAATCATCCCTGAACATTGGGGAGAGGGATCATGATATCAATGTCCTATTTAGAACTGGACAATCCTATGATCTTTTATTTTCTTACTATTGATGAGCTGTGGGTCTCTATATTAATCACCATGTACTGAAAAAAAAAAAAGAAGGTTTTGTTTTTATCTTACTGGTCTTTCGTTTATATACTA